CGAGCCACCCCGTTAACTTTTTAGCGTAATCATGATATGGGCGTAGTTCAGGCTTCTTGACCTCGTAACTACCTAAAAGCTGATTGACCACTAACTGAGAGTCACCAAAGACTTGCAATTGCAACCGCTTCATTTCGATAGCCATTTCGAGCCCAAGTATTAGTGCTTGATACTCAGCAACGTTGTTACAGCAAAGTTGCATCAACGTAAAAGAGTAGGGCAGAACTTCACCTTGAGAAGTGACAAATACTACACCAACACCAGCTCCTCCGCGATGTGCAGCACCATCAAAGTACATCTTCCATTGAGGCTGAACTTCGATGACCAGTTCACAGTTTAGGGTAGTTCTACCTGTATTGATTATCAGCTTGAGGGGGAATGTTAATCAGCAGCTAAGCAACCAGTTGATAGTTAACTGTAGTTAAATTTAATGTAATATTAACTAGAGTTCGAAAGCTAGTTAGTTAGCAGTTAGTTAAGTCTGTTAGTTAGTTAGACAAGTTAGTTATAGTATGTTTGGCCAAGCTGGAAAAATCTGCTTATTTTGAGAAGTGCTTTTCGAAAAGTACTTTTGAAGAGAAGTAGTTTGTGTTTGGCTAATCAATCTAAAAAGAACTTTTGAGAAATAATTTGTGTTTGGCCAAACTTTTCAAAAAGTGCTTTTAAGTATCAAATTATGAATAAGGACATGAAGAGATCTACTTAATACTTAATAGGTAATATTATATGAATAAATAAATAATCTCAAATATTTATTATTAAAGATAAGAATTAAGTTTTTTCATTTTATTTAAGTGAAAAATAAAAATTAAATTTAAAAATACTTTAATCCTTTCAAGATGATTTAAATATATCAAAAAATTATTTGACAAATATAAAAGCATTCATATCAAAAGTCACAATATATTAGAAAGTTATCCTAAAAATAAATAAAAAATGTTTATACATTAGGAGAGTTCAATAATAGAATCTCTTATTCTAAGTATTAGGTTAAAATAAGTAAGGTTATTTTGATATGGGGGTGGCAAGTGGGTCGGTCCGGGCCCTAAACAGGCCATATGAGTTGGTCTCATGGGGTGCGGTCCCGGGCTAAACGGTCTTTTTATTGGAACCGGCCCGGGACCGGGCCCACGAACTCATGATTCGGCTAAACGGACCGGCCCGCGTGTTAAGTGGTCCCAACGGCTAAATAATAATTTTTACAAAAAATAGAAATTAGAGATAAAAAGATATTAAAAAATATCTAAAGCAATTCCTTGTAAATTTATTATAGAATTATGACCTAATTTTTTAATTCAAATTTAAGGACAAAAATATTGTAAAAATATATTCAAAGCAGCCCCTTATAATTTTATTATAGTGATAAAAAATATGGCAATATCCTTTTTAGTCTTCCTCCCCCCTATGGAATGAGCATAATAAGGTGCTAATATCACTATTGAGAAGAAAAAGGAACTAATCAAGATGTGCCAAAATACAAGTTACATAATACATACTAATTTTTGTTCATACAAGTTACATGTTATCACTTACAAACTTCATAAATCCTTCAAGGTTTGGAGAAATTTCCGTTGGTGGTGGCGGAAAAGTAGCTTGGTCGTTTCCGCTTCCATTATCGAGCGAAGCAGCATCCTCTGCAAGTCCAGCTAGCATTTCTTCGTAAGCTTCATCTTTCTCTGATTGTGATTCAGCAAGTCCAAAATTTCTTCTTTCCGAACAGATCTAATCTCTGAAAAGTACTGATTTTTCAAAGCTCTCCCTCATAGATGCTCTATAATCACCGATTTGAAGTCTTGCTTGACTGAACGAGCTCTCTGATGCCACTGTTGAAGCTTGAATAGTTAAAATATCTCGGGTCATCCTTGAAAGAACCGAAACATATTTTTTTTGTCCTTCCACCATTTTAAAATATTAAAGGAGCTATCGGGATTCACTGCCTCAAGTTGCTGCGATAAATAAAGTTCAAGCTCATTTTGTTGTGAAAAATCATTACTACTAGAACCAAAAGAACCCCTAAATGCCGCCCAAGCACTAAGTCCTCTTACTCCCGCAGTTCATTTAGAAGATTGAGAATCAGAAGAAGAAGGAGTTGGAACATTTGGTCTAGCATGATTTAATGCAACTAGATAAGCATTATAAATAGTTTGAGCATTTATTCTAATTGAGGTTATTGCTTCCGGAAGTTTAGGCAACTCAATATATTCAAGTGTTAAACCAATATAAACAGTTTCATACCAAAATTGAGGACCTCCTAATTTCATACAAGGATTTAACAAAGCAGCAACACCATAAATAAGGGGAATAGGAAAAAAATTATTTTTTAAACTTTTTTTTCATAGAATCAAAAGCAAGTTGATAAATTTCCCCACCTTCTAAAAAATGAGCAAACAAATTTGCAAGTTCTTTAACATAAACTAAACAGTTAGAAATAGTAGGATAATATTGCCCAGAAAATTCATTTGTAACAATATGAAATTTTTCTAAAAAAATCAACAAGTATTTTAACATTAGCCCAATCCCCATTCGAAAGGTAATCGCCATCATCACTTACATGTGCATTAAACATTGAGTTTATGAGGTTTCTATATTCATATGCAACAACCAAACTTTCATACATGTAATTTCATCTAGTTGGACAAGGTTTAGGAACATTTCTTTCTCTTAAGCCACATTCATCACATCTTTTAAAATATTCTCTAAGTCTACTTCTACGGTTTGAATGAAAAAGCCAGTTAAGAGCTATTTTAACCTTTTCAATTTGAATATTTAAAATTCTCATATCATCACCCACAATTAAATGGTAAATATGACAAATACATCTAACATGAAAAATATTACTAAATGCAGAATTTAGCGTAGTGCTAAGCAAGTCTATAGCATTTGTATTATTAGTAGAATTATTCATTGAAACTGACATTATTTTATTACGAATGCAAAAATATCTGCAAATATTCGTAACTGTGCTAGTAATAAATTGCTCTGTGTGACGTGAAATAATTATTCTATAAGCAATTAAGCGCTTTTGCATTATTCAATTATCATCAATTCAATGACTGATAACAGTAAGGTAATCACAGTCATTGCCACTTTTACCAATATCAGTTGTAATAGCAACACTATAATTTATATGAGTAAATAAATAGCGCAAATATTGTTCATATGCATGCTTATATTTATAAATATCGCTCTTTACGGTTGTGCGAGAAAAACCTGTATAAGTAGGATTAAAAAAATTTCTAATATAATGCACAAACGAAGGGTCAGAAGGAAAACTATAGGGTAAGTACATAACAGTTACCATTTTTGTCAATTCTTTCCGATTTTTTTTGGATCATAATATAAAATACCATTGTTAACGGTGTTAATTTACGGTTGAAATTGATTTGAACCGACTAGGGTCAACCTGACTAGGACTAGGTACACTTTTCCCCTCAGCCAAAGCTTTCAGACGTTCATATCTGACTCTATCTTTAGGGTATTTTTTTTATGTGTCTAGTCAAAGTCCCCCTCCCCCCAAACTCCCGTGATCCAAATATTTAAAAGCTACCTCTATACCACAAGTTTTACACTTAGCCTTATTTTGTGAAACTAGTTGAGTAAAAAATAGCCAAACAGGCCGTTTGGTAGGTTGTCTAGAAAAAGTAGGGGCAGTAACAGGAGTATCGGATGGGTCATCATTTGAATTAGCAGGTTGGGTTAACATCAGGAGCAGGACTAGTGGGTGTATCATCATCTGGTTGAGTTTCATCAAGATCAATCTCCTCATCATCATTTTCATCAATAGTATTATAATTATTAGAATAGAGAGCATTCATTAATTCATGGTCTAAATGTTCACTGGGTGCAATATTATGGTAAAATTAACTCTCGGCAAATTTATAATAAACTATTATTGGTATCAAGAATAGCAAGTGTAGGACGGATATAGGGTTTGGTTCGGGGTTCCGGGGGCAGGGGAGGAGGAATAACAGTACCACTATATTCGCCAGTGTTGAATTTTCCCTTATTCTTATTTTTACCAAAAATATTTCTCAAGGAAGACATCTTAATTAATCAAGAAATAACAAATAAATAAAACAAACAAAACTATAATATTAAGACTTAAGAGTTGACGAGTTTACCGAATTGACGAACAACTTGTTAAAAATTGATTATCGTTAAAGACTTGAAGACTTCAATTCACCAACTTCACAATTTTTTTCACAAATTGTAACAACCTCAATATTTTTTTTACTATTTTTGGAATAAAGTAAGCAATAGTAGCAAGTATAGAAGAAAATTATAGAGAGATTGTGATAGATTGATATAGATTTTTTGTAAGAAAAATGAAAGAATGAGGGGGTATTTATAGTTGAAAATAGAGAAAAAGTATAATTATAAAAAGTTTGGGGTTAAAGCAAAGTTGGGGCAAAGGGGGATTAAATGGCTATTTTTTAAAGCCCAACAGCTCTTTTTTTAAGTAGCCAAACGACTAATTGTTTTTAAAAAAAAAATTACCGTTGGGCCCGCCAAGGGACCGAACCGGTCCTGGTCCGGTCCCTTAGCGTGCGGGCCCAGTCCTTACGGTTCCTAGGCAAGAACCGGCCCACGAAACCGGCCCAAGCCCACCTCTAGTGGTCTTATCGGTCCCAGCCCACTTAGCCTACGGGCCTTGATCGGCCCAACTGCGACCATATTTTACTAAGTCAAAACTACTTCTACTTCTTCTTCTGCTTCTAAAACTACTTCTCTTCATCCCAAAAGTACTTTTTCCCCCAAAAAAACTTGGCCAAACACTGGTTAAGTTTAGAAAAAAAGTGATTTTTGAGAAAAAAGCACTTTTGGGACAGGGAGAAGCTTGGCCAAACAGGTTATTAGTTTAAATAGCGGCCTTCAGGGGCGGATGTACATGCTAATTTTAGGTGCTCAAGCACCCATTGACCTTGATATAAATTATGTACAGCTATAATAAAAATATAAGAAATAGGATATAATATTTTAGCGAGCACCCAATAAACAAAATGACTTATGGGTGTTCTGGTTCTGATGCGGGAGCTAAAGCCTTTCCTGAGTGCAAAAGACCCAGGTTCGAATTCTGTCACAACACCTCTATATTTTTGAATTTCAGCTTTTTGTCTTTTGTGGAAATTTTTTTCACTTTTCCTATTCCCTTTAGGTTGTTAGCGACTTTTTTAACTTTTCCCCGCTTTTGAACTAAATTTTCCATTTTTGGTTTTTTTTTTCTCCTTTTCCTATTTCCTTTCACCTTTAGGCTTTATTATATTAATTATATTTAGGAATAAGAAATGCCATCTTTCTAGAAAACTACAAAACTAAACCCTTCTTGAGTTTTTGCTCATTAGGAACGTAGAGTAGGGAAAAACGACGAACAAAGTAGGCAGAACAATTAGCAAACTCTCCGGCCATTCACAACAATCTCAAAATCAGAACATAGCACAAGATAATAAGATTTGGTATTTTTATTAAAGTAAGAGAATAAAAATATTCTGTAGAAGGATTTTGAATTTTTTTCATGCTTATTATTTATTCTTTGAAAGCAGATTCAATGAAAAATCTTATCTTTGTTACCAACTTGCTTGATTCCAAAACTTAATTTTGAGAATAGATGCATGTTATTAATATTGGTGGGTTGTGAGATTGATGAAATTGTGCCCATCAGCTCATTGCTTCAGAAATTTGTAAGTTTTCATCTTATCTTTCGAAAAATTAAATAGTTATATCGTTATTGCCGTGTTGTTTGTGCTGTTGATTGAGGGGCATGGTTTTTCCAATAGAAATTAATCAAATTATGTGTAGTAAATTTTGGATGATATTAAATTGAACTAAATCTTGTTTGTAGGAATTCTTCATCAATATTTTGTGTTGAGATGGATAAGTTTGTCACAAGATCAAAAGTTGGGCAACCAAATTCCAGTTCTACTCATCCATCTGTTGCTTCATCCATAGCTCCAGAAATTCAAAGGGATATTGTAACGACCCGGCGGGTCATTTTAAGAATTTACGCCCCGATCCCCTATAAATTGTTTTCCCCGTGTTTGTTTCTTCTATTGTGAGTTGCCGGGAGGAATTATTTGGAGTTTCGGAGAGTTTTGGGACACTTAGTCCCTAAATGAGAGCTTAAATTTTGGAAATTTGACTGTAGTTGAAACAGTATGAAGACGGCCTCGGAATGGAATTCTGATGGTTCCTTTAGCTCCGTTGGATGATTTCGGGTTTAGGAGCGTGTTCGGATTGTGTTTTTGAGGTCCGTAGCTAATTTAGGCTTGAAATACTGAAAGTTGAATTTTTGAAGTTTCCGGTTCGATAGTGAGATTTTGATCCGAGGGTCGGAATGAAATTCCGGAAGTTGGAGTAGCTCCGTAGTGTTAAATGTGATGTGTGTGTGAAATTCAAGTCATTCCGACGAGGTTTGATAGACTTTTTGATCGAAAGCGTATTTGTGAGTTTTTGAAGTTCTTAGGCTTGAAACCGATGCGAATTGGTTGATCCGATGTTATTTGAGGTGTTGTGGAGATTTGTATAATTTTGGACAGTGGTATATGACTTGTCTATGTTTTTGGTTGAGGTCCTGAGGGCCTCGGGATGATTTTGGGTGGTTAACGGGAAGTTGGAAAGTTAGAGTTTGCAGCTGAAGTCTTTGGGTTGCTGTCATAATCGCATCTGCAGTTGAGAGGCCGCAGATGCGACTCCCGCAGATGCGGAGTAAAATCGCAGAATCAGCCAAAAGGAGAGTGAGCAGGAACCGCAGAAGTAGATGTGTTACCGCACCTGCGTGATCGTAGATGTGGCATATGGGTTGCAGGTGCAGAGAGGGAATTTTAATTGAGAACCGCAGAAGCGGTTCCCTTGACCGTAGAAGCGGTATCGCAGATGCGAAAATTGAGTCGCAAATGCGATTTTGCTGGGCAAAAAAATCATAATTCAAGGGTTTAGTTTCAAAAAGTTAGAAATTGATTTGGAACTCGGGAGAGGGCGATTTTGGGAGGAATTTGAAGAGGAAATCAGTGGGTAACAATTCTTTAACCCTTTATAGTAGTATTCCATTAATCTATTGTTAGTTTTGTCATTTAATTTCGGATTGGAGATGAAAATTGGAAAAAAATTGGAAGAAAGTTCTTAGACCTAGCATTTGAATTTTTATTGGGAATTTTACCTTGGATTTGGATAATTTTGGTATGCATGAACTCGTGAGAGTATAAGGATTCTGAAAATATAAATTTTATCCGATTCCGAGATGTGGGTCCGAGGGGCGTTTTAGTCATTTTACCTAATTTCACGTATTAGCTCAGAATTTATTTGTAGAATCATTTACTTGAAGTGTTATTTACATTATGCAATTGAATTGAATAGATTCGGGCCATTTGAAGTCGAGTACTCGCGGCAAGAGCGTGGTTTCGGGTTGATTTTGAGCTGGTTTGAGGTAAGTGGCTTGCCTAACCTTGTGTGGGAGACTTTCCCCTTAGGATTTGGTATTGTGATAATTGAAATTCCTTGTACGTGAGGTGACGAGTGCGTACTTGTGCTAATTATTGGAAATTCTATTTTCACTAAAGTAGCTTTAAATGTGTTTTTCCTTTCCTGCTTATACTACTTGGAATTTAAGCCTACTGTTAGCTTAGGGAAGCATGTCTAATTGACTTAATTATTTTATTTGCTTAAACTGCCTTATTTGTATTACGTGAAGCATGCTAGGTTAGATTTACCTGTTTTACCTTGGTATGAAGTTGAGTTTAACTGAGTATTCTTTGTGCTATTGTTGTGTGTTTTACTTTGGGACTATGGGACGGCATCCCGGGAGATCCCTTGTACGTATTTATGGTTTGAACTGAAGTGCAGGATACCGAGAGATCCCCAACACGTATATTGAGGATACCAAGATATCCCTAGCATATATTGAGGATACCAAGAGATCCCTAGTATATATTGAGGATACCAAGAGATCCCTGACATATATTGAGGGTACTAAGAGATCCTCGGGGTACTGAGAGATCCCCGGTTATTATCTTTGTGAAGAGTGGTATTTTTTGTGATTGCTTTTGTCTCTATTTCAGTTGTTGTTATCCTTATTATCCTGTATTAATTCTTACTGTTATCTTTCAACTGTACTGTTTTATCTTATACTGTTATACCTTATATCTCATTTAATCTCAGTAGGCCCCTGACCTTCCTCGTCACTACCCGACCGAGGTTAGGCTTGACACTTACTGAGTACCGCTGTGGTGTACTCATGCCCTTTCTGCGCATGTTTTTCATATGCAGATCCAGGTACCTCTACTCAGACTTATCACGCGTGAGACGAGGCGCTTGTAGAGACTCCGAGGTATATCTGCCGCGTTCGCAGACCGAAGAGTCCCTTTCTACTCTCCCTTTTTGTATTAGCCCTTCTGTACTTTCGTTTCTTTGTTAGATATTCTAGAGTGATGCTTGTAGACATTCAAAGGCTTGTGATCATGAGATTCTGGGTTTTGGGAAATGTTATTAGTTTCGAGGGTTGTTATTGTGTATGACGAGCGGCATTTTAAACACTGTTTTATTTCATTATTTCAGTTTTTAATTATTTCTTCCGCATTGTTAGGCTTACCTAGTCGTAGAGACTAGGTGCCGTCACGATGGTTCACGGAGGGTGAACCAGGGTTGTGACAAGTTGGTATCTCTTTCAGATCATAATTTAGGATCTCCCAATACTGACCTGGGGGATAGGAAGTCCATTGCAGAATATAGCCCTAATATACGAGATGAAATTAGAAGATATTATATTCAAATGGGACCTTGTCAGCCTACGAGTCATGATTTTCCTAAAACTAAGTTTGGAAAGACAATGCGTCAGTTTTATCTTGGTTGGTTTAAGGGTCAACATTCAAAGTGGTTGGACTACAATATATCAAAAGATGCTGCATATTGTTTGTGTTGTTATTTGTTCAAAAATGAACATAAAAGTCATGAAAATATGGGGGATGTTTTTACAAAAAATGGCTTTAAAGGTTGGAACAAAACTATGGAAAGATTTAAAGCTCACGTTGGAGAGGTAAATAGCATCCACAACAAGTGTTTCAATAGGAAGATTAATTTAATGAATCAATCACAATCAATTCGCACTTATTTTGAAAAGCAATCCGAGAAATAAAAAGGTGAGCTTCGGCATCGCTTGAGTTCTTCAATCGATGTGGCAAGGTTTCTTTTGAGACTAGGATTGCCATTTCGTGGGTATAATGAGAGTCAATCTTCTACAAATAGAGGTATCTTTCTTGAACTCTTGCAATGATATGGAGATATTGATCGGGATATTGGAAGCATTATATTAGAAAATGTCCCAAGAAATGAAATGATATGTTCCCCAATGATTCAGAAATATATTGTTGATGCTTATGCCAAAGAAACAATCAAAGCTATCATTGAAGACTTGGATGGGAATTTTTTCGGGATACTAGTTGATGAATCAAAGGATATATCACACAAGGAGCAAATGACACTTGTTTTGAGATATGTTAACAAAGAAGGCGAAATAATTGAGAGATTTGTTGTTATTATTCATGTCAATGATACAACTACTCAATCATTGAAGAAGGAAATCGACTTTTTTCTTTCGAATCACTCATTAAGTCCATCCCAAATACGTGGGAAAAGGTTATGATGGAGCTAGTAACATGCAAGGAGAGCTACGTAGTCTTCAGACTTTGATTCTGAATGAAACTCCATCAGCAATTGTATTTATTGTTTTGCTCACCAATTGCAGTTAACATTTGTGGCACTTGAAAAGAAGCATTCAGATGTAGATGGCTTTTTCTGTATAGTTACTAATGTGTTAAATATTATTAGATTAAGCGCAGGGATTCTCTTCGACAACATCAAGCTGAAAAATTAGAGGAATTGCTCATATCGGGTGAAGTGCATACTAGACGAGGATTAAATCAAGAACATGGGCTTCAACGACCAGGTGGTAATCATTGGGGTTCTCATTATAGAACGTTAGGTAACCTCATTGTCCTATTTTCATCAATTATTCATATTCTTGAATTTGTTGCTCGTGAAGGTCCAAATTATGCCGATAGGCTTGTTGCTGAAAGTCTTATGACTAAGATTACGGAATTTGAATTTGATTTTATGTTGCACTTGATGTGGAAAGTTCTAATGATAACAAATGATTTGAGTTCCTCATTACAAAGGATGGATCAAGATATTGTCAATGCTATGGAACTCCTCACTCATACAAAGCAAAGATTAAAAATGATGAGGAATAGTGAATTTGAATCATTAAGGGATGATGTCTCGTCATTCTGTGGTAAACATGAGATAATGATCCCGAAGATGGACGCTCTCTATTTTCCTGGGAAGTCAAAGCGTAGAGCTCTTGATGTTACATACTCTCATCCTTTGCATGTTGAGATATTTAATGATGTTATTGATTTGCATCTTCAAGAGCTAAGAAGTCATTTTGATGCTATGAGTACCGACTTACTTCTCGGTATGGCTAGTTTAAATCCACTTAATTCATTTGGTAATTTTGCGAAGAACAGGATAACGAAGTTGGCTGAATATTATCCGAATGAGTTTGATAGCAACAAGCTCCGGGATCTTAGTTTCCAGTTTGACAGTTTTATAGTTTATGATCGTGGTCCTGACAAGAGGTTCTTCAACCTGAAGGGAATTAGTGACCTTTCTAAAGTGTTGGTTAAGTCAGACCTGCATCAAACTTGGCCACTTGTGTATTTGCTTATCAAGTTGACTCTCATTCTTTCTGTTGCTACTGCTTCTGTGGAACGGGCTTTCTCATCCATGAACTACATAAAAAATGAGCTTCATAATAGCATAGATGATGAATTTTTAAATAGTTATTTAGTTTGCTATATAGAGTGTAAGATATTCTCAACTGTGAATAACGATGACATTATTCATCATTTTCAACATATGAAAAGTCGTCGATCACAGTAGTAAATTGTGACCGAAGTTCTTCTTGGTTATGATAATACTATTAATAGTTCATTATGACTTGTGACTAAAAGTATTTGTTAGTAATGATAATATTATTAGTAGTTTTCACATTAACTCTTTTTACTCTTGCATTCGAATAGTTGCGCACTTTTACTATGCGATTGATAACAACTTTATGTTAAAGGAAGTAAGCTCCCACGACCTTAAAATCCTAAATCCGTAACTGGCTGCTTTCACTATACAGAGACTCACTTTTTCAGAAATGGAAGTTGTTCTTCTCTGATTTTCTCTTCTACTAGATAGTTCTTCTTAGCTTCGATTTTCATATCCACGGCAGCTATAGTTGTCCAACGGGACAGGACGTCCCGGTCCCGTCCCGTCCCGTCCCGCTTCAAGTTAAATGGGATGGGCCAATGTTAAACGGGACACGGGATGGGACGGGACGACCATTTCGTCCCGTTTGTCCCGTCCC